CGAATATCTTCAAACAAAATGCTAAGAAGGCAATGTGTTTGGAGGAGAGAGGGCATTTTAAAACTGAAAGTGGAATGCTTAAAGCTGATAGGTATCTGGACCTCTTATTCTATACTTTTCTAAGTAAGGAATCCTCGTTTAAGGAAGATTTGCCACAGATTCATATCTGTTCCACCTGTCTCTTTGTTAGGCACAGATTGAAGGCTGCTTAAGCTGGATTCAGACAATATGCAGAATCAAGTCAGTTAAGTCTCCGTGCTAAACTTGGTTAGTCGTAATCTTGGATATTTATTTATTGGAGGCTCAGCTTGATTAGTTTATGATCTTTTTATTGTGTGACCCCAGAAAATGGCTTAATTCAATCAGCAAGAGAAGAGTGTTATGTGAACCCAGGTTTATGAGAATATTGTGACATCCTCATTGGATTCTGGAATCTTCTCTCTGCTGTGAAATGACAGTTGGGACAGGCACCACTCTGACGGTCAGCCTTGACCCCAGTGTGATAGTGCAAAAGAATGACTATGCCTATGGAAACACATTTCTTCCTCTGAAAGTTTTCTCTGCCATTAGGTGTGCCAAGAAAGGGGTCAGTTCAGTGATCAAGTCCTTTCCTTAGCTCATAAGGGTTTTGATTTTAAAAAAAAAAGGCTGCTTTTTCTATCACATTTCACCCCATCCTTTCTTCTGGGAGCTTGGTTCTTTCTCTCAGCCTCATTTTGTCTTCACAACTCTGCAATGTAGGCTTGAGTAACTCCTGGAGGGACATCTGGCTAAGAATGGGGAACTCGGGTTTTCTCAGCCCTAGACTCAGACTGTTACGCGATGCTGTATTGCTTGTCCTAGAACAGGGCTACTTAGGCGGTTGCTAAGACATGTCACCGATTTGATAGCACGTAATCAATGCAGCACTGGGGTTATGCGATAGGCTGCGTTGGCTATATCTTTATCTAGACCAGTGTTTCTCAACCTCAGCAACTTTAAGCCAGCTGGGGAATTCTGGGAGTTGAAGTCCACATATTGTTGCTGATTTAGATAAACAGATTTTTAAAAAATGTTATAATTCCACTCAGCCCTTTCATAGTCCAGAACTGGCATCTTTTGAATTGAAGTATTCGCAACAGCAAGTTAAAAGTGCACCCACAGCAGCTGCTGACAAACCGTGGCCCAATGTGCTGTCATTCAGGAGTAGGCAGGAATGTTGAGATTCTCCCTCTGAGTTTGATGCACAAGACCAACTCTTAGGTATAAGAATGATGATTCAAGTAAATTGTTTGGTGACCAGAACTGCTTACGGTCCTTCTGTAAAAAACCCACCCCTGGATATTTCCTACATCGTCTTAATGTCGGCAACCTCATGGGTGTTAAAAAGTTGAGAACCAGGATCCTTTGCAAAAGCAGCACAAAACATCTTAAAAATCCGCCTCTAGATACCAGTTTTATCTTGTGCCTACATTTACTTTGGGAAGGACTGTGGAACTAATCCTTGTGCGTGGTGAATGAAGCACGGAGCCAGTGGATCAATATAAGGTGCATCTGGCTGGGATAACCACCTTTAACAGTGGCTGTTCAAGAAGAAGTTTGTGAAGAGAGGCAAGACTGGGTGGCAGTAAGATGGTCTGCAAAGCATCCAGTGGCTGAATGTCAGCCATTGCCAGAAAGATACTCCATGCAACGTTCTCCACAGAGGAAGACCGTGCTTTCTGTGCAGAGGGGGAGGATGACTGCTAACACCTCACTGCCACTGTCGTTTGGCCCTGTCCACAGGCCTTCCTCTTTGTCTGGGTCATGACTCCTGAAGGATGCCTGGAAAAGTTGACTCCCCCCAGGTTGAAAAGCCAAGCAATCCACAATTTTTCAGGATGACCGCACTAGCATTTTCACTGCTATCAACATTAATCTGTTGCCTGTATTCATGCCACTGACCCTAACCTGTTCCTGCTTTGCTTTTAGTCTTTTATCATCTTATGGATATAAATATGCAGCTTCTATCAACTGTGGTATCAGAACACTGAGGACAGTTTAAATTCAAAACTAGATTTTAATAGAGCTTGGGTATGAAGTATAACGAAACAACAGAGAGGGGGCACAGGGCATCTTTAGGGTCAACAAGTAGATGCAAATCAAGCCCCTCAAATTAGCCTACATTTAAAAGCTGTTTTTCCTGGTTTTTCTCTTGCACTAACTAAGGGGCAAATTTCTGTCTGGTTTATGGCTCTGCTTCCAGTTGTTTGTTTAAGCAGGGAACAGAGAAGTTTCCAGCTCTATTTAAAAACAAGTAACCCCCAACTTCTCAAGTCAACCAAACTCAAAAATGAAAACTAAAGATGACCTTCCCCATCTTTTGCTATGCTTCCATGATCTGATATGATCATTGCAATGTCTTTTCATTAACATTTTCACCCTCCTGCTTGTTTAGGGTAATTTCTGGCGAGAAAGGCAATATGTCCCTTTTATTTTGCTGTTTGGATGCGTGCGTGTATGTGTGTTTTCTACTGTCAGGCTATTCTTCAAACAAAGCCAAAGAGAAGTCTTCAGGAGAATCATTCTCCTCCTCCTCCTCCTCTTCGGCAGAGACAGCCATTTTCTGGCTGCTGAGGGTTTCCTCTTCACCCTTCTCCAGTTCCAGGGTTTCATTCGGTTCCCCAACTGCACCTTTCCTTTGCATCAGCTTTCTTTGGGCCCCGGGGGAGCCTTCAGACTCATCCGAGCTGTCTTTCTTGCTTGGATCACTAGAGAATGCTAAGTTTGCAGTGCTGTTGTCTGGGCAAGATTTGAGGTGTCTGGCTTGAGTAGTCTTACACTGTGGCACAGAGAATGATTTCTTAAAACCTTGGCAGGAAGAATACAGAAGCCAGTTACAGTCTTGTGGAACAAAAAATTATAATGTAGGATGAACACCGTTCTCTGAACTTGAGACTGACTTCATAACCTGGCCATCTGGGCCCTGTTCTGATTTAGAACATTCTTTCTGGCACCATTTGCTAAAATACCTGCTACCAAAACCCATTTCTTACTGGGACACACAGGCCAGAATGGGCATTCTCTCCCTTTCTCGCTCTCTCTCTTACCTTTCTGACTACTCCGTTTTTCTGTTGGTTGATCAGATCCTTTGAGTGCAGCTGCAGGCTTGGGGGCTGGCTTCTCTCGCCGGCTCTTCTTAGACACAGGGGAGACATTTTCAGTTGCTAACTTAGGTTTTTTGTCCCCTGTATGAAATACACACACACACACACTTATTGTTATGGCTCAGGACAGGGAGGTTTGAAGATGACCCTCTTCTCTTTCTACATCTGAATCTACTGTATACTCTGGACTCCAAGATTCTGCAAGTTGAGTTCTCAGCATGGAGGCCAAATGGCAGAGCCTCTTGAGAGCCAACAGTGAGATAAGGGAAAGCTGTGACCGTGTTCCGAGAGCCCAGGAAGGAGTGTGGCCATACTGTAATTGGGCTCTGATGGCTGGCGAAGGACAGGGATGGCTCATCTTCTTTCTACCCAGGATCAAGAGAAGGGAAGGGAGTTATTTAGCTTTATTCAAGAAGCTCAAGTCTAGAAATCTGACAAGACTACAGCAATCTTTTGAAGGATGAATGCTATGAATTTCTTACCTACATGGGTAAGAAATGTGGAAGTACATATCAGGAACATTATTATGAATGTTCTTGGCTGCTATTTTATAGTATTTCTGTTGTTTTTAATTTTGGTTGTTTTTATTGTTTTTATTTTAATTATTAGCCGCTCAGAGACATGTATATGAGATGAGCAGCATATATATTTATAAATATATATGCTGCTCATCTCATATACATGTCTCTGAGCGGCTAATAATATATATATATTTATAAACAAACAAACAAACAAACATCAAATGACCTCCTGCCACAGGAACAGAACCCTGGTTAAGATCTGGTGCCCCTGAAAGTCTCCCCAATTGATCCCTTGCCCTTCCCCTTGTGATTATGCATCTGCTTCCACCGAGAGTCTCTCTTTTTTTGCACACAGCTTATACTAGTCTAACCCAGTTGGTTGCCCTTCAGCTATTTGACACACAGGCAGAACTGAAAGTTGGAGGGCCTTCTGGCTTCAGTGATAGAAAAGAAAGGGGTGAAGTTGAAGCTACTGGAGAAGATAGGGTGTGTGTAAAAATATACCTTTCATGTTGATTGTCTTCTTGATATTTGCATTGGGTTCCAGTACTGATATTTCTTGAAGAAGCTGAAAAAGAAATATTGTTTGCTAATTGAAGAGCAGAGAGCAATTTAGCCTTCCAAAGACACCAAATAAATAATGGAAGGATGCTAAATATTTCTACTGGTGCAAAGCAGTGAACAGGCAACAGAGGCCAGAGAGGGCAAATGGTTGCAAAATCAGGGCTGTCCATATCCTTAGCCTCCCACAGATGTAGGGTTCAGCCAACTATTTGGCCAGGTTTTACAGATGGAAGTGGAGGCAGTTCTGAACTGCTATCTTGTTTTCCACCTCAGATACTGCATACATTACTCTTGGCTCACCTTTTCTTCATTCTTGCTTGATGTTGCAGCCTTCTCATTTCCACCCCTTGTTTCTTGAGTCCTTTTGGCCCAAGGCCTGGAGGTCACATTATTACAATCTACAATACAAGGAACCAAGAAGATGTGAGTTCCCTCAAGGCAGAGAGAGACTAGTTTTTAATATTTCTGATCTGATCCCATGTGGCACTTCACATTACCTTTCAGGGTTTTGTAGTCTTTGGGAGATTCTTTGTTTCTGAATCGGCTGTGGAACCCAAACCTCCTTATTCTCTCCTAGAGGGAAGGAGGAATGGGAATGGTATTGATATGCTAATACAGTGAAGATACAGTGCTTAACTTCTCCATTGAGCTATGTGTGGTGTCACCAGGCAGTTTCAGCTGGTTAATCAAAGAACCTGGATGGAAGGGTCTCTGCCCAGTCACAAAGGCTGAAAAACTGGTCCAGGAGTTTAAGGCCCAGCTAGTTGAAGCAGAATCCTTCTCCTCAAGCATCTATGCTAGCTTTTGAATCCACAGATCATCCCCCCATTGCTGAACCCGGTCTGAACTAAATTAAGAGAAACACACATTGTGGAAGAGAAAGCAGGGTCACTGGGAGTCTTATTAATAATAATAGCCAAACCCTGAGGAAAATGACAGCCCTCGCCATTGGGGTCTTGATCAATTTCCTATTTAAAATATTAGCAGCTTGCCTTGCAAGGCTGCCTGCCTTATACTGTATGACAGATTTCTGATAAGAAAATGAAAGATCTGTCATTCCAAAAGGGATTTGCATTTGTTTAAAAAATGCAGTTCTACAGCATTGCATTTTACTGCTGCACATCTTCAACTCATCTCACAGATTTTGCAAGCCAACTGAAATTAATGGAGGTTGTGCATACAATGTAACGAGGCAACAATCATGACAATAATGAAAGAAACTGAAATGGACTGTTTTAACAAGCAGTGCATTGCAAATACCCCAGAAGCATTGAATAGAAAGCCCTAATGGGTAGAAGTTAGAAGGAGGAAATGTTTTAGTCAAGGGGTCTTTCCATACTTAAAAACCTCTCCATCTCTCTTTGAATTAAGAGAAATCTAGACTGACGTGAAATTTGCTACCCCCATTGCAGATTGCTCTGCTGCTTCTATTGTGCCTGTTCTGACTCACTGTGGAGCGGTGCTGTTCTGATAATGTATATATAGCATACGTAAGATAGGCAACGCAGCTGCTGGATTCTTTTGGCTTTGTTACCCTCCCTGTCTGCATGTCACCAGGAAAAACATCTGCCAATCACAGGGCTGCAGCACGCAGGGGTCAGGTTGGTTACAGGACGCTGTCTGTCATCTTGAGGCTCCCTCCCCCTTCTCCTAATACATCCTATTCTGTCATAACCCAAACTGAACAGTTTTGCTCTCCCCTTTCCAGTGGAGGTGACGAGGTGACAAGGAGGCTAATAGACATTACACACCTTCAGGCTTCCCTTGGACAACGTTGGAAGAAGGGGGAAAATGCTACTTTAGCAGCAGAGCAAGTCAGGATGACTTAAACCTGTCTTACTCACAGGCTGGAGATGAGGTGAAGACAATGACAGAAAAAAAGCTGCCAAGGCACGTGGATGTGGTTAGATGCAAGCAAGGCCAGCCCCTAACATTCTGGGTCCCTAAAAGCCAAACTGCCACAAATTGTGTCTGAAAAAGTGCAAGGGGCAACTAGAATAAGGTGGATTGTAATGGAGTGGGAGATTACGAGGGCTGGGGAATCCTGGGAGTTGAAGTCCACATATCTTAACGTTGCTAAGGTGGAGAAACACTGGGCTAGATCCTGGACAAAAACGTGAGAATATACGACAGCCATTACTGCAGAAAAAGAAGTGCTAACGTGAAAGCAACCTTTGTACCAGGCGCAGAGTCTGAGCCCAATCCCACCTGAATGCTTATTTGCTCTGCTTCCTTTGCCATCTCCAGAGCAACTCTGAGATTCTTCTTTTCACCTTTGCTCCTGAGCTTGGCCTGAAACAGAGGGCTCAAATCATATCCCAACAGTGGTGATTCAGGGAACTGATGGTTGTGATGCCGCTTCTTCCAGAACGTTGCATCGCCAAATAAAAACAACAGTTCGGTTTTGCCATTAAAGGGCTATGCTGGCAGCAGGGAGGGCACTAACCCTCATCCTGCTTATATTTTTCCTCCCTTCCACCCCTTGTTGCTTTGCCAAGAGCTTGGTGTGGAGAGATAGGAATGGGAATAGTGGGTGGCGTGGTTTCCTCCTTGCCCATCCCCTTTTTACACAGCTGGGGGAAACGTGAGTTAACCTTAGGCGTAGGCCACCCTTTTTCCCTAGTGGGCAATTCTGGAACGTTGAAGCTGCTCTCAAAAGATGACCGTCTTAAGAGCAGAGTGGGCGGGTGGAGGAATGGACACCAGTTCATATAATACCTGCTATGATTAATATAGCAACTGCCCATTCACCAGAAGACAAAAGGGGGAGATGTCACTCACCACCCTCATTCTAATTCCCAGGAAAACTTATCTTTTTTCAAATTTATACTAACACCTGAGAGGCTCAGAGGCAGTCCTGTAAATCAAAATTGTTAGAGACTGGAGGTTTGCATCACAATAGATTCCTAAATCATTTAGTTAAATGAAGTCATCTGACTTATGGAGCCTGGAAAACATCACGGGAGTGGTCTCCATGTACACTGTGTACTGGTACCCCACCCAGAGTTATCATTCACAGGATAACTTGGGAAAACTCATTGTATGCCTGGGTCTGAATAAGTCAGCAGTCATTCCTAACCAGCAATAGGGAATAAAAAGGATATACAGTAGGCGGCAGCAGAGTTGCCCTACAGACAAGGACATCAAAATACACAAAATACTCTGGCCATAAAAAATTGCTTAAAGAGCCACACACACAGAGATGCATTGTAACCTTCTACCGATCCGTGTCCAGAGTCACCTGCAGGGGAGGCTAAGACACATGACGAAAGCAGACAGAAGCTCTGTCACTTCTGCACGTGTGTTGTGATGTCACACGCACACATGACAATAGCCTTGGATTCTGTGGGTGCCTCTGCCCATGTCCATGTCACAAAGAGGCCTCCTTTCCGGAAGAGCCACCACTCAAAAGCTCCCTTACCAAGGCATTTCCCTCCCCAGGCGGTTCACCAAAGTTCTTCAGCAGGGAGGCAGAGATCCAGGCGCGGGTCACGGAGTTACCAAAGAAGGTCACGTGGTACTTGGACTAAATAAGAAGGAGAGTACGTCAGCTGCCACAAATGGCCATTTTGGGGAGAGGCGGCACATAGGCTCATTATCCAAAAGGCGCCATGACTGGAGCCAAGATTCGATGACCTCTGAAATGAAGATCACAGAATAAGAGCTGGAAAGGTCTGTTTCAGCTAGGAAGTCCAATTCCCTGTGCAGTGCAGCAGTCCAGATAAGCTGCCCAGCCAGTGAGGGGATGTGCTCTTTGCAACTCCTTCCCCCCACCCTTCGGAAGAGAGGGACACATGGCTTCCTCCAGTTAGCTGGCACTTCCTCTGTTTGCTTTTGGGGCAATCCTATCGGCCTCTGTGGCTGCCTTCTGCTTTTTATTCATTCCAACTGTTTGCAGCTGGGCTTTCAGTCTCCCCTTTTTCAAGGAATTCCCACCGTCTTGAACTCTTCTCCTGTCAGGTTCGATTATCATGTGTTACCACATGTGCGGTGTATATATGTACACAAAAACATGGGGTCAAGCAAATATACGTAATACTTAACAGGAAGCGAGTCTGCCTGGGAAGAAAACAGGAAGTACTCTTCAAAGTCAGGGTCAGCTTCTATGATTCCTGGCCACCTAAAAACAGACACAGGAAGGAGAGCAGAAAACATTGAGCTGTGGTGATCCCTGGTCAACCTTTAGTTAATTAATTAAATTAACTCTTCTCATTAAGAGATGTGGTTCATCTCTTAATTCTCTGAAATGCAGCTCTTCTTTACAGAATTTGTCTGAGAAATCTTGAAGGGCCCAATATGAACATTTCACATTAACAAATAACTTGCCTGCTAAAATTGGCTCCCTTCTTGGAGGAGAGGGCAATGGAGAAGGCAATGCTAGCTTTGGCCCCAGATATGTGAGCGGAACATGCTTAACAAAGCTAAACTAACTAAGGATAAGGAAGAACAAGGCTTGAATCGGAGGTCTGTCCTATCATCTCATCAACTTTTTAGAATGCTTTGAGAGAATGTCAAATGCAGGCTCTGTTTATACAATACACTTGACTGGGTCTAATAAAGAGCCCGCAGATGCATTTATCCAACATGCGAAGCTTAGTGTTCACCTTGGTTACGTTTGCTTTTGTTGTTATTGCTGCTCAGGGTGTTGTGCAAATCCAGCCTGTCTGGCAAGTTTGATGTAGCACACGAACCCAGAAAATGGATTAAATTCAGCAAGCAGGTCAAATGTGTTGCATGAACACGGCCACTGAGTCACATGGACTCTGAAAAACATCTCTGTGGAAACAGCAGTTTCATCCTTTCGTCACTTTTTGTGGAGCACCCCAATAACAGCAGTGCTGCAGCTCCTTACACTCCCATCTTTTCCCCACTGCAGCCAGTGAGAGCCAGGTTGAAACTGCTTCTGCTTATGAAGCTCTTTGGGAATCGGGGTCTCCTACTGCCCTCACAGGACTGGGAAGGAGTGAAGAGGAGAGCTTAGTACTACATCATCTTGAACATCTTGAGGGAAAATAACTAATATGTATGTAGATTTTTTAACCCTAACCCCCTCTGCCCTGCCTATGGCTAACAGGAAGCAATCTAACCAGATGAACCTATCAGGATGAACCTTAATAAACATGGCTGGTGGGACTGATGTCCATCATAGACTTATTATAGAGTCATATTTCCTCGGCCAAGATCTCTATTACATGGACCAGGAGAGTCCTACCATAGGGAAGAACTTTCTGGAAAAAATACAGAAAGTATTTATTAAATTTGTGGGGGAACACCTATCAGAAAATTGCAGGAAAGCAAAGTCAACAGCACTAAAAGCTTAAGGTGGAAGTGATCATCATAAGCTTGGATTTCCAAAATGTTAAGCTAACTCCTCTGCTACCTCTATAGGAGCTAGTTCTACCATAAGAAATGTGCTTTAAGGACCCAGCTGTGCCATTGTTGTTCAGTAGTTAAGTCATGTCCAACTCTTCATGATCCCATGAACCACATTGGGCCAGGCCTTCCTGTCCTTCACTGCCTCCCGGAGTTTGTTCAATTTCATGCTCATTGCTTCAGTGATGCTCTCTAACCATCTCATCCTCTGTTGTCCTCTT